TACATGCTTTAGAAATTTTTATTCTCTTATATAATGAAGACTTTTTATTTATTTATTTTTTCTGTTGTTATTGAGTCATTTTTCAGTAATTTCTGACTCTTCAAGACCTCATCTGGGGTTTCCTTGGCAAGGATACTGGAGTAGTTTGCCATTTCCTACTCCTTCTCATTTTACAGGTGAGGAACTAAGGCAAAAAGGGTTAAGTGATTTGCCCAGGGTCACATAGCTAGAAAGTCTCTGAGGCCAGATCTGAATGCATGAAGAGGAGTACAGTCCTGGCACTCTATCCACTCTAACAATTATCTGCCCCTTATTTTTCCTAAATAGAGTCAAATGTCAAAAGATATATTTTTTCTTTACTTATCTTTCCATTTTAGGAGAAAGAACCAAATTATTAGAAAGAAACTTACAAAATGCAATTCATTCAAAAACAAAACACTACCATGGCCTATTCCTGAATTACTGTGCAGTGAACCAAGTTTCATACCCCCTAGATTTACAATTCATACAAGGAAAAGATGTATTTAGAATGATGATCCTGAAATAGTAAAAGTTGTATTCCTCTAAGAAAGTTATAGGGGTATTCACTTTGCTATACTTTCTAAGACAAAAGTAGATGAAAATAATTTAGAGAGATTTTTCACTAAAAGAGTTTGATCTAACATTTTATAAATAGTTAAATACACAAAATTCAACACAGCCAGTAACCCCTCTCCCTATTTCCAAAGCATGACAATTTATCAAGGATTTACTATAGTCTAACAAGATAACTAGCTTTGTGAAAGGTGCTGGAATATATTGAATTGCATTATACATTATGAAAACAGTATATATATGCAAGAAAGATGAAATTTGGAGGAAGGAGGCAATGTGGTATAGTAGAAATAATGTCAGACTTAGAATCAAGAGAGATTTTATCCAAGGTCTACTTCTGAAATCTGCTAACAACATAATTGGGTCAAGTAATATAATATCTCTGAGCCTCAGTTTTCTCATTTGTAAAATTTAGGTTAATGATAGCAATAGAGAGGCAATGTTGGGTAGAGGCTAGAGAGTTTATCTCCAGTCAGGAAGACCTGCATTTATGTCTGTCTTTGATACATGCTAGCTGTATGACCCTAGACAATTTCCTTAACTTCTCAGATTCTCAGGTAATTCTCCAAGACTCTAAAATGCAGAATAGTTACTAGTCTGAAGTAATAGAGGAAGATTCTTCACTTAAAACTCTTTACACTGATGAAATAAGTTCAATTTTTAAAAAATTTCTAAAGGCCTTTGTGAGGATAAAATGAGATATTTGTAAATCATAAAGTGTTATATAAATATTTTTATTTTCCTCAGATCACATCTGGAGTATTGCATTTAGTTTTCATCATGACAAATTGGGAAAGACAATGATAAGCTAGAGAACATCCAGAGGAGTACAATTAGGATGCTGAAGGACTCTGGGTTCATTCCACATAAGGATTACTTGTGGAAATGGGAGATTTATAGCCTGGAAAATAAGATAAATAAAATCTGCTTGGGTACAATAATTATATTCAAATATTTAAAGGATTGTCATGTGGGAGAAGTATCCAAATTGTTCAACTTGCCCCATAGGGCAGAACTAGGAATAATGAGGAAAGGCTGTGGAGATTCAGATTAAGGTGACACATCAGGAAAAAAAATCCCAAAGGAGAGCTATTCAAAAGTATAATGGCTTGAATCAGCAAGTAGTATGTTACAACTAACTGGAGATCTTCAAGCAAAGGCTAGGTAACTATTTATTAGGTACGGTGTAGGGTTTGTTTGTTTGGTTTATTATCTAGGTACTAGTCAGACCAGATGGTCTTTACGGCACTTCCCATCTCTAAAACTTTGTGTTTATACGAGCTACTACATAAGGAATGGGGAGGTTCATAATTATCTAAATGTTGCTGAACAAACTTAGTCTTAAATCATTGGCATCTATTTATAAATGAGCAAATATATTAAAATATGAAAGAATACACATTGGACAGAAAAATAATAAATGGATCTAGTAAAGGAATAGAATTGATCCCAAAGCATAACATTATGAATTCACTTCTATTCTAAAAACAAACAAAAACCAACACTCCAAACAATCAAGATATTCAATAAATGCAGGCACAAGTGTCACATAATACCTATACTGGTTACAATCAAAGAAATCATTATGAGGTTAATTTTAGCAAATCATATAAAAGTTCCAAAAGCTTTAGTTTTATCAAAGATCATCACATGAGGGTAATCACGGTGCAGAACATTATGGGCAAGCCTTACAGTGAAGAAGGTCTGGGTTCAAGTTCTTTCTCTGACATGTAATAACTGTGTGACCCTAACCTCAAGTCACAACCACTTAGTATCTAAAACAGGCAATTGATAAGTCTTCTGTAATATACTCTTGGAGACTAAGATTAAAAAAATTCTCTCTCTCTCTTTCTCTCTCTCTCTCCTCTTAGATCAATGATTCTGGGATAAATATTAGAACTTAATTAAAAAACTGAAAAAATCAGAAAGATGTAAGGTATCTCTATCAAAAAGTATAAAGATAAATGCAGAAAGGTATAGGATGATGAAGTGTTTAATCCAAATGGGAGAGAAAAAATAAGTGCCCATTCAGAACCCCAATGCTTTCAGTTTAGGGCAAGGGAACAGCTTTGTTCTATTTTAATAATCTTAGGAGAGAAAAAAAAAGGGAAAGAAAGTAATGCAATAGGGAAGCAAGAGGAAACAGGAAGAGCAAATAGGAAAAAGGGAAGTAAGCAGAACCAAGAAAGAGACACACACACACACACACACACACACACACACACACACAGTGTAACAATGTAAACTAAAAAAAAACAATGAAATATTTTGGGTGACAGTCTTTCAGGAGGATTTTGACAATGACTCTTTGGCTGCCTTGAAAGGGGATATATATTGCTCTAGACCCTTGGAGCTCTATTTCTTCTCAAGGAAGTAATAAAAGATAAAGAAGGATGGAATTTAATTGGGAAGCTATACAGACAGTTCTCACTTTATCTAAGTGGACCTTTCTGCAGACCTCTAAGTAAAGGGATTTTTTTTTTTTTACATAATGTGAATTTACTGGAGGGGAAAGGGGAGGGAGGCAGGAAGGGGTGCACATTCCATAGCTCAAGGACACATAGGGGCTAGAAGAGCAGTAGGAGGAACACACAGGGGTGAGGACAAACACTGGTATTCTAAAACTAAATGGAAGACAGACAAGCTGGGGCTGGACAGGCAGGCAGGCAGGTGAAGTGGGGCAAAGTTATCCTCTCTAGGTGCCAGAGGTCTCAACCTAAACCTGGCTCTATGGTGATGGTGGTGGTGGTAGTGGTCTGTCTGTGCTCTTCTGCTTTCCCTTGGAGGGTTTTGAGGTTTTTTGGTAGTGGGGGATAAGGGATGATGGGGACGAGAGACCACAGGGAGAGAGATAGAATAGAGTTAACATATGCAGTTTTTTTGGAATGTATATTTCCTTCAGAATTATTGTCCTGAAATCAAAGTTGTATAATGCAAATTTATGTAAAGAAAAACTGTTTGTATGAAAGACTATATATATAGAGGAAAGGATGGGAGGAATGGGATACCCGTGAACCTTTTCTTTTTATCTGAACCAGACAAAGGAGTATTGAACACAAATAATGAATTTGGTGTAGAAATATTTTAAATTCAATGGGGAATCATGTAAGGACAAGTAAAGATAAATCAAAAGAGAGGGTAAATTCAGGGAGAGTTTAATCATAATCTAAAGAACCTCCACCTTTGGAAGGTACAGCATGAAGGAGACAGAGAAGGACTAAAAGGAAAAGTATGAAGAATAATGCACTATAGGTAGAGTTATAAATTATTCCAACAAATTTTGTAAAAAAATTTAGAATTATGCCAAGAAATGAATAAAATATTATGACAGTTTATCTAGAAATTCTATTGCCAGACCCACAGCCTAAGGATGCCATATACACCAAACTATTTATAACTACACTTTTTGTAGTTTCAAGGAACTGGAAACAAAATAGATGTCCATCAACTGGTAAATGGCTAAACAAATCATAGTAGATAATGAAAATGGAACATTACAGTAGTATAAGAAACAATATAGAGAATATGGAGAAGTATAAAGAGACTTACATGAATTTAGGAAAAAGAGAAAAAAGGAGAAACAAGGGAAGTTTTTGAAAATGACTCTTTGGCTACATTGAAAGGGGGTGTATATTGCTCTACACCCTTGGAACTCTGTTTCTTCTCAAGGAGGGAAGAAAGGATCAAGATCAGGATGAGGGGCAGGGTTTTCCCCTTGAAGCAGAAGTTTTAAGATGCTCTTTGTAGAATGAGAACAGAAAGAGAAGAGGAAGGCGGGTGGGTTCTCTGCTTGACATAGTGAACAGCAGAATGACAGTGGTAGCTGGTGGATTTCAAGCTACATCTGTATTTCCCATCATCAAACCCAAGCCTCCATTAGAGACTATAACAGGTACAGCGCATGTAGCTGCATATCACTTAAACTCTCAGAATTTTAGTTTCTGCATCTGTTAAATGAGGATAATAATATCAGTACTACCTACTTAACAGGTTTGTTAACACAAGAAAAGTGTTTTGTGAATCTTAAAATTACAATAGATTGCATTAATTGTTGCTGTTGTTTAGAGGCCTGACTCTGGCAGCTTTTGGGATCTATGCCACTTTTGGGATCAATTCAGATTTTCTGGAGGTCCAACAATTTCTCATCTTTCAATCTCAATATGGGTTCGGCATCTCCTCCACTCCCTCCCCCCATTTTTTAATCATTGCAGCAAATGTCCATTAAATTGAATGGATTTTTCTGCAGGAAAATTATCAAGCTCATTCCAGCCTTGAGGAATGAAAATCACAGTGAATACATTTGAGAAAGTGGGTGGGAAAATGAACACATTTTAATCACTGTAGGTGGAAAAAGTAAATGCATTAATTTTCAGTATGCATGCATAAGGAAGAATATGTTGTGTCACCTTGCTGCGGCATTGGTAATGATTTTCAGGCTGCTGGGATTCCTTATAAGCTTGTCCAGAATGCTGACAATCTGCTCAAACTTGGGTCTGTTGTTTCTGTCCTTCTGCCAACAGTCCAGCATCAGCTGATATAAGGCAGCTGGGCAGTCCATAGGAGGTGGCAGTCGGTAGCCTTCATCCACAGCTTTAATTACCTGTGCAAGAGAGCAAAGTTTTAGAAAACAGAAAGGGCAGTTAAACTTATTTTACTCCATCCCTGCAGCAGAGTCCATTAACATGGAGAGTCTAATGTTTAAACAAAATGTTCCCATTCTCTAATTGCTTGCAAGGGTAACCTCTCCAGTTTATCAATAAAGTAAATGATGCTTCAAATTGAAGTCAGGAAAAAGCTGCATAATGGAAGGTCAAAGCAAAGTAGGTTACTCTGTATCCAAAGAGCCTACCCAAATGTCTAGACTTGATGAAATTCAGATCAAAAGAAATATTTGTGGAGATGGAGATTGTTGTGATGTGGTTACGCAGTCAAAATATGAAAAATTTAGGTAGAAGCCTGCTATAGTCTAATGTCATGGAAATGAGGAATGTTGGATTTAGAGTTGGAATTGCAGCTCTGCTACTTACTACCTTTGTGACCTTGGGAAAGTCACTAAAATTTTCTGGTTCATTTTCCTCACCTATAAAATGAAGGAATTGGACTAGATGAACCAGGTTTTGATTATTACCCAGACTCAGGTATACCATAAGTAAAAGCACACTCTCCCAAACACAGCATTCAGGAATCTGCGAGTTCAAATCCAGCCTTAGATACTTACTAGCTTAGTGACCCTAGGCAAGTTACTAAACCCTGTTTGCCTCAGTTTCCTCATCAGTAAAATAATCTGGAGAAGAAAATGGCAAACTACTCCACTATCTTTGCCAAGAAAACCCAAAATGAGGTCATGAAAAGTTGGACATAACTGAAAAATGACTTAACAGCAACAAAATAGCCACATTTTAAAGCTGGAATGTATTCAAAAGTCATCTTGCTTTTAAGTTAAAAAGAATGTGTTGGTTATCTAGTCCTACACCCATTCTAAACCAATGAGTAAAGTGAGGCTCAAAGAGAGATAAAAAAGGCAGTAAATGACAGAGCTAGAATTTGAACCTTGGCTCTCTGACTCTCAAATCAGTACTCTTTCCACTATGTCCAATTTCCTTATTTGATCAATGAAAAGTAAGGTCCAAAAACCTTGAGGGCCTTGACCTACCAGAATGAGCTTTGCAAGATTTTAATGATTCCATGCCACATCACTGTGTATAGCTTCCTTGTATTTCACAAAAATGATGAAAACCTTCCTTATAAAGACACTTGCGGTATTAAAGCGTTATATTATGCATTATAATAAGATGAATGCACTATTTGTATGAATTAAGAGCAAGAAAAAGCATAATGATTAGCTTTTAGATTGTACTTCAACTTGGGGATTACTTTGATACTAAATGAAATAACTTCCATATTTCTTTATTTGATATGCTGGGCTTTTTCTGCAGTGTAATTCAATCTTATTCATGCATTAGAATACACCCAGCTATAGAGTAAACAATCAGTTTTTTATATTACATCAGCTACCAAAATACAGAGTAGTAAAATATTGCTTAGGGGAATAAAATAGCTTAATATCTTGTTTTAAAAATTAAGTCAATTTAAACAGCATGGAGAGGAGTTGGAAGGAGAGGCACAGAGGCAAAAAAAAAATGAATCTATTTTATTATGAGTAACTGAAATGGCTTCATATTGGTTTAAGGTAAGCTTGATGCAGGAATATCTTTATTTTGAAAAAAACTAGAAAATGTATTATACACCAACTATATATTAAATGCGTCTTGGGCAAAAAGTGACAGAAGTATTAAGATAGTTTTGGAAACTTGAGCACAGTTTTGACAAGAGGTTAATATATTTTTCCCCTCCATCTAGAGCAAGGATCATTAACTTAGGATCATAGATCCCATTTTTTTTTTGATAACTGAATTTTAATATAACTAATTTCCTTTGCAAGTTTAGTTATATTTTATGCACTTAACGTTATTTTGAAAAGAAGTCTTAACCAGACTACCAAAGAGGTCTATGATACAAACAAAAGTTGATAACCCCTGGTTTAAAGACTTCAGCTTATGACTGACTCATGTGGAATAAATTTCTGCTTAATATGTCAAGGGAAATAAAATGATAGATATTTTTAAATTTTACTTTGGGAAATGCTATACTTCATTAAACAAAAATGTTGGCATAGATGTATTAATTAGATCTAGAAAGGATAAAAGACATGAGTATACTACTAATGTTGCACAGAAACAATTCCCTGGCAAAAATCTTTCAAACAAATCAAACTCTGTATTTCTGCCTGCTATCTATCAGCTGTCTCCATGGGTACTTATTTCATTAAAATCTTAGTACATATGCTTTCATTTTGCACTTCATCTGTAAATTTTTTCATGGGGGGAAAACAACCCTTTTGAAGTAATTTAACTAATACCTTTGTATAACCTGGAAGCGGTTTCATTTCTTCTACTTATTCTGCTTCAATGTCAAAAACAAGAAGCCACCTGGTTTTATTATGCTCCACTTCCTTGCACAGCTTGATTCTTTATTTGAGCACATAACTCAAACACTACAATATACTCACATCCTGATTGGACATCTCCCAGTATGGTCTCTCTCCATAGGACATCACCTCCCAGAGAACAATTCCGTAACTCCATACGTCGCTGGCTGACGTAAACTTGCGATATGCAATTGCTTCTGGAGATGTCCATCGAATTGGGATCTTTCCTCCCTTTAAAACAATTTTAAAATGCAGGAATTATATATCTATCTATATCATTTCATTTCCTTGTGAGAAAAATACACATAATTCCAAATGCCAAATGTAGTCTGTTTTCCAACAAAATATTGATTTATAAGTAAAGGTAAGTTGCAACATCTACAACACAGTGGGTTTACCTAATGCTATAGGACACAAGATTTCATCAACAATATTTGTTTTCCCTGATTTTACAATCAAACAAGTGATTCAAAATGGAATGAAATTAATTTAAAGAAACAGATTTTTTACCTTTCTCTATTAATATACATAGATTCCTTAAAATCTTGCAGGGTATATATATATATGTATAATATATGCATAATATTATTTATTTGTAATTTTTCTAATGGAATATATTTCATCAGATGATTCAAATAAACAAAACTCTGTCTCAGTCATTTAAAATAGTTATAAGAAACTGCATGCTAGATTGGTAATATATCTTTGATACTTTCACTGAGTTTTCTATGCTTTGTCCAAGTAATCTCATTTAAGGTCTAGTTACATAATACAGATACCTACCCTCAATAAAGTAGTCAATTAATAAATTAATCCATCAGCAAGTATTTTTCAAATCAATCAACAAGCCTTTTTAAAGCATTTACTGTGATCTAGGCACTATGCTAGGTGCTGAAATACAAATAAAAAGAATGAATCAGTATCTACTCATAGAAAGCACACATTTTATTCTTACTATATTCCAACACTGTGTTAGTGATCATGAAAGGTAAAAAGAAAGTCTTAGACACAGTCTGCCTTTCAGGAGGTTAAGGGATAAAGAGAAGAAACGACTGAAGCAATGATACCATCTGGTAAGCCACTGCAGTAATGAAAGTGGGAGGGGATAGAAACCTTAGTCTTTTTTCAAAACGATTCAACTCTAAAGGCTTGTCTTGCAGACACATATGTTTCTCCACTTTAAAAAAAATCACATCTTTCCCTCCCACCTTTCCCCAACACATTTTTCTCTTTTCATCCATATCCCCAACATATTGTAAGTGATTCTGCACAGCATCAAACTCAAAACTAAAGAGGTCAAATTTTATCCATAACTGATTCTCAAATCAGCTACAAGTTTCCATTTTAGAAATGTGACAGTTTTTCTTGGAAACAAAAATATTCAAGTGACGAAAGCCCTGGACTTTTCCATCCTACGATTTCAACATTGCTAATATGTCAAAATTATACTATCTCTGCTGTTTCCCCACACAAATAGTTCTTAACATTGAAAAATAGTACTACATATATGACAGCTGATTCCATATTTTTGACTAATGGCATCAAAACATAAGTGGATACATTTCCTCATCTTTTATAGGCCCACAGCACCTATAGAAATTAGAAAAAGTTGTGTATATGTGACAAAAGCAAGAAACACCTATATATTTTGAATCCTTCTACCATTATAAATCTTTAGTTGTTCATTTTTGCTCTATGCCACCAAACATGCAACCACTGGCATGAATCCTATATTTACAGGTTTCCAATTGAATTTTAAATGAAATTGGATACTGACAATATTTCATCTATCATGGTTGTCTTTGCTTTGTTTTGTTTTGTTTTTAAACAGGGTTGGAATGGTAAGTGCTTCCTAACTGAATTTCTAAAGGAAGGCAAAGTTCTAGGCAGTAATCCTTTTTTTTGAAAGGACACAGCACCAACTTGGCAAGGGAATCTTTTCATTTGACATTTTGGATAAGGATATAAATGCTGTCAAGAGTATCTCTACTGGGATTGTAACCCCCAACCTCTTCAAAGAACATTTAAGCCTCATGAATCTTATTAACTTCACTGGGAATTAATTATGCTGTGTGTCCATTAATGTTGCAAAAGCTTCATGGTCAGGTAAGTTATTCCTTCAAAGGAGCTCCCCAAAGCTCATGATTTCTTTTATGGAACTAAATTATTGGTCCTTCATCACCACAATATGGAAGATGAAATACAAGAACTTTAAAGAGAATTCATTCTTAACAAAAAGATGGGAAAAATTGGGAAAATTGCTCCAACACATTATGATTCTTCATTTGGGAAATAATACTCACCTGCTTGACCCTGATTATTTTGTTAGCATGGACAAGATGTATTAAAACACCTTAGCTTCTTACCTATCCATACTCCAATAACTTCAGATATTCTGAATTCACAAAGAAAAAGTAATATGTTGTCACAGGTGAAAAAATGTTAAGTTACTTTTCTACATATCTGTGACCTGTAGGATCTATTCTTATCATCCATTTTAATACAAAATTGGTCCAAAATGCTTCATTGTTATTGCCCACTAATGACATCAATAGGTTTGGTTCTCTGTCAAAGTATATTTGATTCAAAGAGACATCGGGAACTCTCATTTCCAGAAATATCTCCCTGATATATCTCAATGATGCCTAAAATGCTGAAATTAGAGGTTGAATTATTTGATACATGTTTTTGTCTGTTAAAAATTGGAATTCTTTTGCAAAAATTTAGACCTATTGATAAAACTTAGTGCCTTAGACTTGAACTTGAATAAATTTATTAGGTCTTTTTCTTTGAAAAGATTATAGAGGGAAGAAAGCATGCACAAAAACGTGGAAGGCAGAGGATTCTACCTGAGAGGATGGGGACACGTATTAAAGAGGGAGCAGTTATCTACATTTTTAACAACTTCACAACATTTCCAAGGCTGACTCTGTTTATTCACAAATGCAAACTCATCACTCAACCTCATATTTCAATCTCCAAAATGAAATTGTGGTATTTGTTTCACTAACAAAACTAGGAAGGTAGGTGATGCAGTAGATAGAGCACTAGGCATGGAATAGCAGAGAAGGCACTTTATAAATGTGTATTCCTTTCCTTCCTCCCTTCACAGCTTGACCTAATTGCTAAAGAAAGCAATGGTTGGAACCAGATAATTTGAGTGATTATGATAATGACATTTATCTAAGGGTTCTAACTGGTGAACTTTTACCCAGACCTATGCTCATCATGTGCTTCCTGTCCATCTCCATGTCATTCTTGCTTTAAACTTCATCATTCTACCCTGATTTCCAACTTCAGCTGTGAGAATAGTAACTAAATTCTTAGAAAGGGTGTACCAACTTTGTGACACTCCTTTTTGGCCCTCGCTCTCACTATATGTGTTGCCTTCCCTTATTAGAAATAAGCTTTTTGAGAGCAGAGATTTTATTGCTTTCTTGTATTTGTAACCCCGACAGTTAGATAGTGCCTGGCACATAGCAAGAATTTAAATCTTATTTATTCATTCATTCTTTTGAGAACTTTATATCCTTTGAACACATCACTTGGGGAATGTTTGGGTCTTCCATATTGGTAATCTTTCCCTATGTATCTTGGATATCAGAATCTTATCAGAGATATTTGATGCAATCAACAAACTGTTTTTTAGGCTTCTACTACGTCTACAACTCTACACTAGAGGATGTACTAGGAATGGATAAGGCACAGCCCCTGCTTTTATGGAACACACAGACTATTAGCAGGACTGGATGAGCTCACAAATGATAATGAAAACGAAATGAACATGAAAAGCAGATTGGAGTGGTGATGAACCAAGTGCTTTGGCAAAGTCTGAATTTCTGGTCTCTGTTGTTGTTATGCAGTTATTTCAATTGTATCCAATTCTTCATGACTCCATCTGGGATTTTCTCAGGAAAGATGCTGAAGTGGTTTGCCATTTCCTTCTCCAGTTCATTTTACAGATGAGGAAACTGAGACAAACAGGGTTAAATGGCTTACCAGGGTCACATAGATAGTAAGTGTCTGAAGCTGGATTTGAACTTAGGAAGATGAGTCTTCCTGACTTTAGGCCCAGCACTCTATCCACTGTGCCACATAGCTGTCTCTCTTCCGGGGTTTATGTGTGCAAATTTGCGCCTTTTCTCTCTCTTTAGGCAGCAATGTGTTTTCAGATGACTAGTAACAATCCTTATTTGTTCTTTCTAAGGCTCCCTTCTTCTGTATCAGGACAAATATAGTTTGCTTAGGTTAAGTTCTGATATTTGTATATAAATGTATTTACTTAACTTTAGAGAAAAAAAAAAAGACCCACATGATGAAGCAACATAAAACAGCAACAAAGATTTGTGGATTGTGATTTTTTTTCCTCTCTGTTGGTTTGATGTAAGTATTTTAATAAATATCATTTGTTTTTGTTGAATGGCTTGTTGAAACCTTGTGGGGTGACCTTTAATCTTAAATTAAAACTTGTTATTCATTAAACTCCACGCAGACATGTTTACATTTTTTGGATAGTTTTGAACCTCACTGGCCTAATTCTAACACACTTATAGTCAAGAAAAAAGTTTTGGATATGATTCAATTAATCAATAAACATTTATTAACCACCTACTATGTGTCAAGCACCATGGTTTATTTATCTACCTATAGCAACTGAGTTCACTCTTTTCCATATATATCTGCTGTATTCCTCACATTGAGAAAATATGTTTAATAGGAATGTATATATAAAGCCTGTATCAGATTGCATGCCATTTTGGGGAGGGAGGTTGAATGGGAGGAGGAGAAAAATTTAAAACTCAAAAGCTTATGGCAGTGATTGTTAAAAATTAAAAATAAAATAATTAATAAAAATGAATTAAAATAAGACTTTACAATGAACTAAAATATTCACAAGTATTTAGAAATGCCCATTTCAGGGTTATTTAATACCTCCCTAATGAACACACATTTCTGAGCAAATCTAAAAATAAAAAGCCATACATATTCCATTCTGAGAGGAATAATTTCATTTGTAATAGAATGAAACCATTTTCTTCCTTCCTTTTAATCTCTACCTAAAGCCATTATTAGTGCTTTAGAATCAAATGCTTGGATAACAGCGAAAGAGGCACCTGATATCTCTATAGATAATTGCAGAAAACATCTAACTAATGTTTATAGTAAGAAATCCTTGAGCATTGTGTATGGCAGATATTGCTTATGTTGACTGAGAATATTGTTTCATATTT